CTCTGTGGCCATTCCAATTCCCCTCCCCTCACCCCATTGATGGATGGAAAATGATCAGAAATGGGAGGGAACAGGTGGGAATGGGTACATTCTCCCAAACCTGTTCACAGTGTTGCCAACCCCAGCAAAGCCTTTGCAGACATTATTTCCTGCTCTGTTAAAAATTAAAAAATGGGAGGAAGAGGGAAGGAAACAGGAAGAGACAATCTCAGAGCATGGTAGTAAGAAAAAATGTAAATATGGCTGGTGCACAAAAGACCCAGCCATTCTGTACTGTAGGCTCAGTTAGATGTTTGGGAGAGTGGATGCTTTGGTTGTTCATATTGTACAAAATGGGTTGTTGTATTCAGAAAGGAAACTCTATTGTGAACATAGGGACACATTTATAAATTATTCCTGTTGTGCTTTAGCTTAAGAGGACCTGGAAGTGGGTAGTTTGCTTCTGAAAATATTTGTCTCTCTTGTCATAAGAGGCGACATATCATACACAAGAGTCTTACATAAAGGAAAGATCTTGCTTTGCCAATGCAGTAATATTTGAAGTTATTGTTGCTGCTGTAAATAGCAATCAGGGTTCTAATGCTTATGGATTAGGAAAATTTTAATCCTTTACCCTCTATGCCACTATTAAAGATGAAATTCCTCCATTTGCTATTTGGCATTGGAGTGAACTGTCCTTTGGCACCAGGTTTCCAATCTGTACCAATCATAACTGCATGAAAGGGTGATTTTTATTACAACTGTGATTTGGAGGAAAATAATTATAATAACCCTTCTCATATGCTGCAATCCAGTCCTGATTGGAGCCCCAGGAAGCTGCTATACACAATGCTAAGTACACATTTAATATCTTACACAGTTTATTTTGCATCATGCCCCTCCCTTTAATCTTTCATGTATTAGCCACAGAAATCTGCATTGTGGTTTGACATGCAAGTTGGTTTCTCCCAACTCTTTCCACAACACAAAAACACTAACACAACAGCATTATGAAAGGTATGTGAAATTTCCTGCAATGTAAAATTCCAACACATATTCTAAGTAAATGTAGAATTATAGCTTTAAGAGATAAACCCAATTCTTGTTGGCATCCCTAACCAGAGACCCACCTTGATAACTTGCTCTAGGAGGACAGGATAAATGTTCTGATTCTGGGCAAGAAGTGCCATTCCAGCCCCTTCACAATAATGTAAGGCCTGGGCAGTGAGACCATAGTCCGCCAGGCGAGATGCATAAATCAGTTTATATACCTATGAAAGAGAATTAGGGAGAATATGGGTGCAAGAGAATCACTGGTCTGAGATGGGCGGCTATATGAATGAATGAATGAATGAATGAATGAATGAATGAATGAATGAATGAATGAATGAATGAATACTTATATACTAGAATTATTCTCAGTATTGTAGCCAATCTGTCCTTGTTTGTATGAACACTTGTCTTAAAATACTGGGTTAGCTACTATGGTCAAATGGCAGAGAGAAAGTAGTGACCAAGAAATTCCTGTAAACAATATTATCTTCCTTAATAAGCTTGATGAACAAATCACTGAGCTCATGTACATGAAAGAGTTTCAGTAGTCAAAAATAATATACAAATGTTATTGTATATTGTATATAATATTGTATATTATTCAACTTATTTCTCAATTGAAGATAATTAATTCCAGCTATAAAAATTCCTAAGTACAGACTACAATGCTTTAAAACCAGTTAGTAAATATGTGTAGATACTCCTTGGAGTTGCGTGGCAACGTAGATGGCAATAATGGATTTTTTACATTTATTACCTGGTAACTTACCATGCTATGCATGGGATCACTTAGAAAGTAAATTGCCTACACAACTTGGCTTAGAAAATTTGGCAGAGGTGACTACATAAAGCATACATACCCCAGTGGAACTACCTCAGATTCTCCATGCAAGACTACAGCCTTCAAAATGGCTTTAAATAAGTCTTCATAAAGCAGAGATAGGCAAGCATTTTGCAGCTGCGCTTTTAAAATATATATCTTCTGGCAGTGAGGGCATCACCAGAAGAGGTGGGGCTTGGGGATCCCCTTTGGTATCAGGAGTCAGAAGAAAACTGTTATTTGCTTTCAGTGCTTCTCCCTTTACAGCATCTTACTCCTTTCTCCTTATTGTAAAAAGATGGGATACACTGAACTGCGCTGTATCCCTTCCCCTGACTCTAGCAGAAGCTTTACTAACCTTGAAGTGGTTCAAATGGTTGCCTCCTTCCATTTGCAGATCATGGAAGCTGGCTAAACAAAACAAGAGGCCCTCACCCCAGGAAATATTTTCATTATATACAGGTAGGACTCTGAAAATTTGGCCTTTCTTAATCAGCTTGTTACTACCTGGAATGAAGGGATGAAAGCTTGGGAACACCCCAGCAACCGACAGTATTCAAGGATCTCCGTTCTGTGAATACACTCTGTCCTTGCAAACTGGGAAAACGTCTGGCTGAAAGAAAAAAACAGATCAAGTTTTTTTGATCCTCAATCCAATTTCATCCTTAGCACCCAATTTGTTCTTTCCATCAAATTCTGCCTTCCACAGAAGTTGGAGGATAAAATTAGAGATGCTGGCAGTCTAAATGGTAGGTGATTGTTTAACCAATTTAGAAACTGATGGGCAATTAAGCTTCACTGAAGTATTACCAAAATGTCATTACTGGATATTTTTCAAAATATTAAAGAAAATGGCAAATAATGTCTATTATGCTAAATAAAAGGTAGATCTCATTCTAAAAATGGGAGTCTATCTTTAATGTTTCTTCCCTGATGATTTTATGCACCATAATTAAGACACTTTAAAAGTGCTCATGACAGAAATGTGCTTGCTGTTAGGACTGCTAGCAGTGTTTGATTTTTCTTCTCTATTCCTCTTCATTCAACAACATGGAAGAAATGCATTACTTGAGTTTTTTTATTATTTTTTTTATTTTATTAAGTCATCCTGGCATTGAAGTAATGAAAGACAATGCAGTATATAAATGCTTCAACTAAATGCAGCATTTTGAGTCGGTGTTAATTGAAAACCTTCCTATCCTTTGTGTCTGCTTCATGAAATGGGGACTAGCCTCCCTTGCGAGAATGCAGCTATCCTGAAATATTAAGAAAGGTAGAAATAACAAAATTTGGAAGACCTCAGTCCCATGATTACCATGAAACAGGGAGAAGGAGGACACTTATTGCGTAATTAACAGCACTTGGTTGTGGTGAGCCGCCGTCTCCCCCCATAGGATTTGCTGCCCACCAGTTCCTGTTAAGCTTCCATTCAGCAAATAGCTACAGCTTCCCAGAGGGATGTATTTATAGACCAACAGTCTCCATGGTTTTGTTCCGAGTGCCTAAGAGTTCATTTATAATATGCACTGGAAAGATAAACTGAGGTTGTTTCTCTCCTCCTAGGTGGAGCTGTTGCTTTTCTTAACTTCTTTCAGGGGAAGTTGTGCTTAAGAACAGGAAAACCTAAGAAAGGGAGAGGTTGCCTTAAATGGAAAAATGGAGGAAAAAGAAATAACAAGCGTTGCCTTCAGATGCTTCATTGTTAACTACAAGAGCAGTAAGCAGAAAATCTGGTTTCACCTAAGACTAGATTTCTAAACACATGTGATTCCGCAGGAATTACTTTAAGGAGCTCCCAAGAACTGGTTACGTGCGTTGCTTGAAGATGCCAGGTGTGTTCGGCTTTGTCATACTAATAAGGCACAAACAGCGTAAAGGTGAAATGAATCATTAAACACTTTTCGTTATTATCTGGCCAAAGCACTATTAGTATAAGTGGAACTGTTGGCTCTGTAAATTGGATTTTTAACCTTAACGTTGCCTCTTAAGGTGAATGACTGTATCAGTCACAGTGAGTATGCCTTATCTTACCGGAAGCTACCTTCAATAGGGCACTTTGGTACACTGAAGTTCAGATCTCTACCTGTCTCATCAGTTAGAGAATCACTTACATGTGCCTACGCAGAATACCAAATACGGTTCTCTCCTCATTAGAGCTAAAATTAATTTGCCCACAAAATTCTCCTTAATGGTGCATTATTTTTGATGGGAAATATTCCCTGGTCTGCCAAATACTTGAGCTTCTCATCAGCATTTGACATCCACACTGAATGCTAGTGAAATCAGTGACTGGTGAATCACGTATTTCACAGAATGATTGCTATCTTATGGTAGACTGTAGAACATACTTTATATAGCAACAAAATGAGGGCTAGGAGCATGGGAGAGGAAATACATAAATTATATTTCTACATTCCAATATACAGGATATGCTGTTTTTAGATGATTAGCTCACATTTATTATTTGAAATAAAACTATATTTTCTCTCCAGTGCTCTGTCATTCCAGTTTATGGCTACTGAAAGCAAGAGCTCTGCTTTGTTTTATTAACCTTTTATTTATAATCTGATTTTATGAAAGTACAGTAGACTCTCGCTTATCCGACATAAACGGGCCAGCAGAACATCGGATAAGCGAAAATGTCGGATAACACACAGTAACGATTGAGTGCGGTTAAAAAAAACCCGATCCACTGCGCCCGTTGCAATCGATTTTTGCGTTGCGGCGCCGCACCGTCAGGAGCAACAAGAAAGAGTACACTCACGCTTGCAAACAAGTGGCACACTTTTCTCATTGCCGATTTATGCGTGTTGTGTTTTTTTTAGGGGCGTCGGATAAGACGGAATGTTGGATAAGCGAAGGTCGGTTAAACGAGACTCTACTGTAATTCAGAAGTAAATCCCATTAAATTTAGTAGATGTACT